TTAATGTTGAGATTTTAAAAAGGCCCGTCGTAAATTATCAAATTGCATATTTAGTCATTTTAGTACATGTTTTGTACGCATAAATTCACCTTCTAATTTAGATATGTAGTACTATTTTAAAGTGTCTAAAAATTCTAGATGTATGTCTGGTACGACAATAATTAAGAGTTTTTTTAAAATAAAACATCTTTTTTAAGAAGCTAGATTGAGTAGTTTGTCAAAGAAATCTATATATCTTAACATTAATTTGTAACAACAACTTGTTGTATCAAATAGAACTAAATCAAACGTATAGCTTTTAAGCAAGCGGTTATAATCTTTTTATATAGATTTTTTTCAATCATTAAAAACAAATAGTTACTAAAAGCCTCACAAAAATATCTTTTTAGCTAATTGTGACAAACATATCCTTAGTCTTATCATAAATTCTACTATTTTCACTCTAAGAATAAAATAAGTAATAGTAATAGTGTCCCCATTTTTCTTTTGTATTCTTTTCTCGGAAATGTTACTTACTCCACTCATTTTCGTATTTTTTACCATATCATACTATAATGAATTTTTATTAGGTCATGTTTACCTTCTATATTAATATCATTTCATGATAACGTGATTAACATCTCCCCACAAATTGTTTGTGAAAACTTATTTAATCATTAGCTAAATTAGCTTTTCAATTGAATATTACTCTTCTTCAAAAAAAATTGAATATTACTCCATAAAACCGAATCAAATCTTATTCATGCATTATTTGAAGCTTACATCAAAATTAGATTTACTTTTTTCTGGGGGAAAAATTAGATCGTTAATACATAAAGAAATCTGTAGAAGTATTTCTTTATAGATTGTTAGTAAAGGAGTAGAAATCCTTTAATTTATCAAAAAAATAAAATAAAGGAGGAGTAAATCTTTTGATAAGTTTACTCCCTCCGTCTCACTATAATTATCCTATTTTTCTTTTCCCGTCCGTCCCACTTAAGAAATAATAAGATGGAATGATGGCTCACCCTATTAGGGTGTCCTGGTGGTCTATACTCCGTATATATTAAGCATAGAAATAGGAGAATTACAATTATGTCCCAATACTATAAATTATTACACCCCTCAATCTGTGCAGGGGAAACAATGCGCAGATTGGAACGTAAAAATTCAAAACGCTAACTAGATAAGTTCTTAGTAAAAATATCAGCTAATTGTAACTGCGTGGGAACATATTTGACCACCAGATCTCCATGAGCAACTCTTTCTCTGAAAAAATGGTAATCAATCTTGATATGCTTACTGCGGTCATGTTGGATGGGATTCACATCTAAATAAGATGCAGACACATTGTCACAATGAAGTTGAACTAGTGTGGAAAGCTGATGATCATGTAATTTCCATGTGTATGTTTGTATTTTTAATTAGTTTTGAGTGATTTTTACTTTGGAAATTACACACTTTTGGTGTAATAGTTCAGTTTGTTAAATTCTTGTAAATTGTTTAGATTAGGTTTATTCTGAGCTCAAACAAGTCTTGATCAACTCAAAGGACAGTTGGTGAACCCCAAAAGTGAAAGGAATGTGCAAAATCAAAAGAGAAAAGAAGATCCTGATTTTTTGGTCTATACCCGGTCGAGTATGACCTATACACGATCGGGTATCTTGTTGAAATTTCAAATCGGATCAGATCCGAAGACAAAGGAACATGTAGGGAAGATTTTGACCACGATCGAGTGTCTATACCCGATCGGGTAGACCAACATACCCGATCGGGTATGCCCTTAAGTTTAACCCCAAATCCGGTCAAGTATAGCCCGAATATCACTTTCTACACATACTCGGTCGGGTATAAGAGCATACCCGATCGGGTATACCTATAGAATTTAGCCTATAATCGATCGAGTATACCTCGAATCTGGCATTTTACACATACCCGATTGGGTACCTTGTAAATACCCGATCGGGTACCCGAGTTGCATCCCAAGAACCTATAAATACACCCCCTTTCCTTCACAATGAGATATCCAATTCCTACATACTTCTATGCTCAGTCTAGAATAGTTCTTTCTTTATATTTTCTCCATGTTTAGCCTCCAAATGAGGAGCTAAACTCTTCCATCTTGGTTTTGCTACTTTGAAGCTTAATGAATTTGTAAGTTGTGAGTTATTTTCTTTAATCTTCTTCCTTGAATATTAATTCTTCCTTTAAAATACTATTTCTATATCAAAGTTGGGGTGTGTTACTAAGATGACAATTAGTTAACATCTTGACATTGGTTATAGTAATAGTTATTTCTTCCTCTATGTTGATATTGGGGAGTGTTACTAAGATACAATTAGTTAACATCTTGATATCAACTATAGTAGGATTCATATTATTTAATATTCTTCCTTGAGTATTGATTAATTCCTATTCATATTTCATGTTAATATTTTGAACATTACTTAAAGGATTAACTAGTTTTGTTTCATATATTAACTATTACTAGAATCAATCGATTGATACGCTTGTTATTAATTCGGTTCCTTCAAAGGTAGTAAATTTGGATTGTTAATGCATGCCTATCATGGTTAATAAACCAAGGGGAATTAATTATATTGATTAAACCAATAAACCGCTTGTGTTGAGGTTATCAATCTCAATCGTTTTCATCTTAAGTTTATTGCTACTATCGAATTAATATACGGCGCTTGTTCTATGTTGACTCGATAGTAAGTTTTATTAATGAACGCATCTCGTTATTAATAACTACCCTCGATGAACTGGATATACTCCTCGATTGAGTATTCGAGAGGAAGATAGTTAAAGATATAACCGGGATCGACGAACATTTCATTAAGTGGATAAAAGCAAAACCAAGTCCGCATCTCTATTATTTAAACTCATATAAGTTGTTCATCTTAGTGTTAATTAAATTAAATCAAATCAAACTCAAAACCCCCCCTTTCGTTACTGTTATTATAAAAGATAAATATTTTTTTCCCTGTGGATACGAACCTTACTTCGTTATACTACGTATATTCGTTGTATTGTATTTATTTTGAGTGCACCTCACGACAAGTGCACGTCAAAAGCCAAATGCCCATTTCAGAGAGGAGAGAGCGGATGAAGATAGTGTCCCGAACAGTATAGGCTATGGCATGGTACTCAGCTTCAGTGGAAGATTTAGAAACTGTAGGTTGCTTCTTGGAACGCCAGGAAATAAGATTGGGACCCAGAAAAATGGCATAACCAGTGGTGGAGCGACTGCTGCCCGGATAGCCTGCCCAATCAGCATCAGAGTAGGCCACAAGAAGAGAGATGTCACGTTTGTCTTGAAGCCACAAGCCAAAATCTATAGTACCTTGCAAATATCTGTAAATCCGCTTGACAGCCAAAAGATGAGTAGTACGTGGAGCATGCATAAATTGAGAAACCAAATGTACAACATAAGTAATATCAGGTCTAGTTAAAATCAAATACTGTAAAGCACCCACCATACTGCGGTACTCAGTAGCATCAGTAAGAAGTTCACCATCTGTGAGAGAAAGAGTAGTACGAGATGGTAATGGTGTACGAACTGGTTTGACAGTATGAAGATGGAACCGGCATAATAAGTCAAGAATATATTTTTGCTGAGAAATAAAAAGACCCTGAGTAGTACGCCGAGTTTGAAGACCCAGAAAAAAATGAATGTCACCCAAGTCCTTCATGGCAAACTGGGTAGACAAGGCATTAATGATAGAGCGGACAAGCGGTAATGACGAGCCAGTAATGAGAATATCATCCGCATAAAGAAGAATGTAAACAACCTGAGAATGCTAACGATAAACAAACATGGAGGAGTCAGACTTACTTTGAATAAAACCATGAGATAAGAGAAAACCACTGAACCTGTGGAACCAGACTCTAGAAGCCTGTTTAAGACCATATAACGCCTTTTTGAGATGACACACATGATGAGGAAAAGTTGGATGAACAAAGCCTGGAGGTTGGCACATGTAAACCTCCTCTGTAAGATGCCCATGAAGAAATGCATTTTTAACGTCTAATTGACGAATACACCAACCAAGAGAAACAGCAATGGATAAAACAAGATGCACAATAGTGGGTTTAACTACAGGACTAAAAGTTTCAGTAAAATCTACACCAGCCTGCTGCTTAAACCCTTGAGCAACTAAACGCGCCTTATGGCACTCAACAGTCCTATCAGAATTAAATTTTGTCTTATAACCCACTTACAACCAACAACATTTTGCAAGCCATCCCAAGGTACCAATTCCCAAGTTTTATTTGAAAGTAGCGCATTAAATTCATCAGCCATGGCGGCCCACCAAATAAAATGTTTTTGAGCTTCTAAAAAACATGTAGGATCATCCGGAGGTGAAATTACACTTAAATTAAAAATTGTTTTGGGCTTATAAATACCATCCTTAGCAGGGTTTTCATGGGGTGATGATTAATAAGAGGAAGGGATTGTGAAGGAGGGAAAGGACTAGATGGTGGGCTGGGCGACGGGCTGGACTCAGGAGTGGAAGTGGGACTGGACAGTGGGCTGGGTAGACTAGACACCGGGCTGGACCTTAGGTTGGGTGTACGGTGTCCTGGGCTGGGCGAAGGCTGGTGTGGTGTAGGAAACATAGAGCTTACTAGAGGCAGGGCTGCAGGTGTGTGAAGTTGCTGGACCGAGGAAGTAGCGGCAGGTGTAGGAGGGGATTGGGCTGCTGGATGTTCCAGCTGGGGCAAGGGCAAGGACGTAGATGGAGGCAGTGAATTGGGTAAAGGCAAAAGAGATAATGGACTAGGAGATGGGGTGGTTTGAATAATCTTAGAGTAAGGAAAAAAATCCTCAAAAAATTGAACTTCACTACTAATATAAACTCTACCTGAGATGGGGTCTAGGCAACGATAACCCTTATAAACCGGGGCATAGCCAAGAAAAACACATTGTATAGAGTGAGGTGAGAGTTTATTGGAAGACTTGGCAATAAAATTAGGAAAACAAGCACACCCAAAAACATGAAGAAAAGAAAAATGAGGGGATTTATTAAAAAGTTTTTCAAAAGGAGATAAATTATGGAGGATGGGAGTGGGTAAACGGTTAACAATATAGGTAGCCGTATACAAGGCATCAACCCAAAAAACGGAAGGAATTGAAGACTCAATCAACATAGTCCTAGTTAATTCAAGAAGTGGCCTGTGTTTACGTTCAGCCACACCGTTTTGAGTAGGAGTATCCGGACAAGATTTTCTAAATAAAATACCATATTTTAAGAAATGATTATTAAAAATGGTATTATCAAACTCCCCACCACCATCACTTTGAAAAGTTTTGATTTTTCGATTAAAAAGATTTTACACAAGCGTTTGAAAATTACAAAAATGAGTAAATACCTCAGACTTGCGCCGCATAGGATAAATCCAAGTATAACGAGAAAAATCATCAATGAAACATACATAGTACTTAAACCCCAAATTGGACAAAACAGGCGATTGCCAAACATCAGAATGAATAAGTTCCAGTGGCGCAATACAATTATGAATAGCATCTGTAAACGGGAGTATGTGGGATTTACGCAACTTACAAGAAACACAATTATGAGAAAGATTACTAGAAACTGAAATCAATTTATGTTGCCGAAGTGTTTGTAAAACTCGTTCACCACAATGCCCTAAACGTTTATGTCAGATAGGTCTAGACACTAAGGTCGCTTGTAGAGCATGGAAAGGATAGAGATGGTCTTTATTGGAGCCCTGAAGAAGATGCACCCCCGTCTGATTGTCCTTAACAGAAAAAGAATTTTAATTAAAAATCACCGTACAATCATTATCCGCACACAATTTATGAATAGATAAAAGATTATATTTTAAGTGTGGGATATGATAAACGGAGTTTAAAGAAAGCGGGCGACTAGGCGTAAGAATTTTAAGGCTACCAACATGAGCTGTGGGTAATTTAGTACCATTAGCAACTTGCACCGAATTTGGTCCGGTGTAAGGGAGTTTACAAGAAAGAATACCTACATGAGGGGTCATATGAGCTGAGGCACCCGAATCAGGATACCACACAGACGCATTATGCTCGCCCGTGGGAAGAGGAGCAAGGGCAGGAGTAGAGGAACCCACAAATCTTGGACACATGAGAGCAGAGTGACCTGGGGAGAAGCAGATTTGGCAAACAACTGACACAGGAGTATGAGAATAAGTATCATCCACATATGGAAAACCTGCACTGACATGATTAGTACTGCAAGTAGACAGATGATTAACGTTTGAATAACTAGTCAAGAAATTACTTAAAACTGTACCTGGAATCCCATTCTGCTGCGGGCCACGAGCCTGCTGTCCACCATAAAACTGTTGTCCAGGGAGCTGCTGACCGTGAGGAGGCAAGGGAAGAAGAGGCGGCTGCTGGCTGCTATAGACCTGATGTGCACCGCCAGGATGTTGTTGACCCCCATAACCACGGCCACAACCACGCTGACCTCCGCAATATCCACGACTCCCGGGATGATGTCCAGCTTGACCACGAGCTGCACCCCCTCGATGAGGCCTGGTGGGGCGGTAATGTGTCTTGGGCATGTAAATAAATATTCCTTTGTTCTTTAGCAACCAAAATTGGACGTAATTTTTCAAGAGTAAGATCCTCCAGAATATAGTCAATGATGGCAAGCAATGATGCGTACTCCGGACCCAAACCAATAATAGTATACTCAAGTAAATCACGGGGGCTAACGGGAGAGTTTATGGCAGTCAAGGTATCAACCAACAATTAAATCTCCAAGAGATATTGATCTATAGTTTGCGTGTCCTTTTTAATATGAGAAATTTGTCGCTTAAGTTCAATAGAACGGGCACGACATGCACTCATAAAGCGCGTTTCAAGTGATTCCCATATACGGCCAGAAAATTTGAGGTCATAAACCTCCATTAAAATATCTCTTGACAAAGTAGCAAATAACCAGGATCGGACAGTTTGATCAATCTTAAGTCAGTGATGATACTCAGAACTTGGAATCTCGCGCCCAGAGAAATCATGCGTGAATTGAGACGGTGCCAAAATTGAGCCATCTAGAATCCCAAGAAGACTATGGGAGACTAGAAAAGACTCAAATTGGGTCTGCCACGGGAGATAATCTTCAACCGCATTTAACCGGGTAGTCACAATATTATTGACGTTGGGTGTTGAAAAACCCAACTAGGCTGCAATAGATGCCAAAAAAGAAGGAGTTGAGTTAAAACCTGGAAGCTGCATATTGGACTGTGGCGGCAGAGGGCAAACACCTAGTTGGCCGGAGAAGGTGGAGCCGGAGAAAACAGGTGGTGGTGATAACCGTTGATCCAAGGCCGAAGATCTGCCAGGCGGAGGAGGAAGGGAAACCGCCTAAAAAGGAGATGTCACTGCTGCCGTCTGTGGAGTCCATGAAAAAGGTTCTGGCATATTAAAGAGATGATACGACGTCAAAGGCGGTGGCATATGGGAGAGCCCAGGCGAGGAACGATGCTGAAGAACCTGCAGAGAAGACAGGGTAGAGGAAAGAGGCAGTGTTAAAGCAGAAACCGGTGGCGCTGTGGAGAGAGGTAGGTGTTGTAGTTCCGTCGATGTTGGAGTGTCCATGGCGAGAGATGCAGAGGAAGATGATGGCACAGATGTGATCTGCGTAGAAGTTGTCATCAGGAGAAAAACGTCGATAGTACTAGGTTTAACTAGGGCTCTGATACAATATGAAATAATAAGATGGAATAATGGTCACCCTATTAGGGTGTGTAACGCACCTCTCAGGGTTAAAGGAAACGTTACATAAACTTACTACTAAAAAACTGCAATATAACGGCCGTTTGTTTAAGAAATAACCCTGATAAAAAAAACTCAAATATAACTAGAATATAACTCCAAATAAAAACTCAATAAAATCTAGTTATCACCAGCAAATGTGATAACCACCTGGATCCAGGAATTTATTCAAACTTCAATCCTTAAATAAAATAAAGTAATAATAATCTTTTTATTAAAACAACTCAAATACTGGAATAAAATAATATCTAGCTACACGCCGCCAAGGTCGTTCCCGTTAACTCATCTTGGCACGCGTTCCACTCTCTCATCATCTTCCTAGGCCTTGGCCTTACCTTTAGTATCTGTACATGCGAAGAAAGAAAAATGCTAAGCTTTACGCTTAGTAAGTCACTATGGATCCACAAAAATATTTAGAAGTTTATGCCAATTTATCAATAGATAAATTTAGGCTATAAGCATGCACTAACTAACAACTAACAGATAGCTTCTCAAAAAAATTCTCAGAGAGATCCCAAAAATATTTACTAAAATTAACTTTCAAAACTACTAGGGGGATGTCAAATTTTCTTTCTCATATCACCTCTGTAAAACTTTCTGAAAGGGATCTCCTAAACTTTCTGTAAAACTCTTTGTGGCTAATTTTAACTGTGGGCCCGTGATATGTACTCAAAGGCGCCAATCGGACAGCTCAGGGGAGCGACCCACTAAACATATCAGACTCTCTGAAACTGATAAACTGATAATCTGAGGGAACTTGTTCCCGAGTACATATCACCTGATCTTTCACTTTAAATATTAGTTCTTTTTATAGTGACGTTTGGGTAAAAACATCATTAAAATCTTCAAATAAAGCACTGACATAATCTTGACTATGTCAGATAATAAACATAACTTAATACAACAATTACAATAACTCATCAAATAATTCACCAAGCTCACATAATAGCAAATAGTCTAAAATCATCTACAAACAATAAATCAGACTTCTTTCTTTCATTTGGTTGAACAAACATGTACAGGTGGTAGTGAACTTACCTGAAGAAGTTGAACTCAAATTACTCAATTAAGTGTGCCACCTTGCTAACGTCTTCCAGTAAGTTCTTCTCCTAAATCTTTATTTTAATGTATGAAATGAAAATTAGAAAATTTTCCCCTCAACCAATATCCAAAGTCACAATTATAATAATAAGAAGTCCACTAATTGGAACCATACGCAGGGCAACTCTGAGAATTCTTCCCTGGAGTTCTGCTCTAAGTTGTAAAGCTAAAACCTTAGGTAAAAGAATTTTACTACTCATGAGATTAAAATTTTCAAACAAGAATGATCCTACTGGAAGATAACCATTTGAGAGGTTATTTACTTGCTCTCTCAATGTTGAAAACTGGTTAAAACTAAAGTGAATTGGGTAATCAATAATATTATAAGCAAAATCCATTATTATAGTTTAAACCAAAGCTCCATAACTAAACTTTGAGTTTCTGTTGAAATGTACCGATCAGAATTCAAAGCAGCAACAATCTAATGGCAGATTACCAATGCTAAAAGATTGAATTTCTTTTAGATTGTTTGAAAGCCCTGCTAATAATAGCATTGACTTGTGGCAACGTAAATCAGTCCAAAAGAGTGGAAAATCTAAAACCATCCCATCTAATTTTTCAAACCACTGAAGAGAACGAAGGCTCGAAATTCATGGTTCAAAAGTTATATAAGATTCAAAACTCAGTTCAATCGCTCAACCAAAACAAAACCCAGTTCAACAAATATAGAAACCCTTCACTTTCATCAAATAAAGATCCCAAATCAACACACTCCCTTTAGAAGAAAATTAAAATCTGAAAAGAGTTCTCTTTATGAAGGTAATACTGTTGGTCCAAGAAATAATGATACACGAAAATTTTTAACAAGTAATCAAAATCAATTATCTGTAATATGATTGATTGATTTAAAAAAAATTACCAAGGTAAAATTTTGGACTGTGCCAACTAGAAATCGATGTACAGGAATAACAAAACATTTAACCAAAGCAATTATCTCATGCCCATAACTAGAAATCAACTAATTTACAATCTAAAGGAAGCAGTTTATGGGAGTAACTTTTGACATACCATGTATTCGTAGAGAAAGGGAAGAAGAGAATTGTAAGGAATAAATATAATTAGATTTTGATGATGCTAGGTTGATTAGTATTTGAAAGTACCCCAATAGAAATTTTGTATTAGAATTTCTCTTTGTATGTACTAGAATAGTCGACATGCCAGAAACCCTCTTGGTCTTCCTTATCAGAACTTCTATCAGAGTCGCTCTCAGAGTTGCTCTCCAGAGAAGCCATCAGAGTTGGATACCAGAGTTGGCATCAGAAGCTGCCATCAGAGTTCTGATCAGAAAACCTCATCAGACAAGCTCGCACCTTGCAGAACTCGAAGACACTTACCAACGGTCGTTAAATTAACGGGAAATCCCCCAACGGCTACGAACCTTTCAACGGGAACATGGTACTGTACACGCATTAAATGCTCAATTAATGTTGTACGTACGAAGATATATTTAAAGCTGATGATTGACCATGCGAGTATCTTCGCGCCCCCAAAATAGCAAGTCGAAGGTCCAACCGGTCCAGTCAACAGTACAAGCATTTAATGAAGTTGTCTTCTACGCTCCAACGGGAAGACTGCTCCCAGTATATAAGATACACTCTGAAGAACTACTAGGACAACATTGTTACAACGTTTGCCAGACGAACTTGCTCAGATCATTCTACTCTAAATCAAATACCTCCAAGCTTTCTTGAGATCAAAGACTTACTTACCTCAACAAGAAAAGCTCAAGTTGGAAGATATACTTTCTTATCCCTCATCCAACTAGCAAGTTGCAAAGTTCCTCAGTTCTTCAACACTTCGAAAACTTCATCTACACATCCTTTGTGAAGAAGCAACGTTGGAGAAAACTGATCTTGATTCAAACACTTCTTGAAAAAGAAGGGGCGTCTCAAACTAACTGGAGTAAGTGAAGTGGTGATACTTCCAAGAGACTCAGTGAAACGAGACCAGCCATCAGGAAGCAGGACTGCATCCCGGGTGGCAACTAGGCTTGAAGAAGACGTGGAGAGCTTCTTAAGTTCTAGGGACTAAGGCGTTGTAAACTGCAGTTTTTGCAAGCTTAGTGGAACAGTGGACTAGAGGAACAAATTGTTCCTTGAACCACTATAAAAATCCCCGGTGTCACTTACTTTACTTATTTCATTTCTGCACTTAAGAACTTGACTGCATAACTCAAAAGGTTGGACTCTGTGTTCAGCAGATCTTCCTCAAGAGTTATCAGAAAGGCATTTGCCTTAGTGTTGTCTGAGGCTACCCGGACAGAACCTAATCCGCTGCCAGGTCCAGTTCTGCCATCAGAACTTGACCTTCTCTGTCACCAGATTTTGACCATCTCTGATAAGTCAGTTGTGACTTAGAGAAAAGTTTAAATTCCTGAACAGTCTATTCACCCCCCCCCCCCCCCCTCTAGACTGTTCCCATTACAAACGGGACCAACAAGAACCGATGGCTATGGAAAAAAAGTTTTGAGAGCTTCAGCGGCTTAGTACTCGGCTCTTATCGAAGAAAGTGGCGTAACTTCTGTAGGGATTTAGTTTAAAAGAGACTTAGTTGGGCTAAGATTGATTTGGGCTCCTAATATTCTTAAAAAATCCAACATTAAAAGTATTCTCTATTTCAAAATAAACTGATTAAGCTTTAAAACAATATTTATTTGTTCACTTAATTTTTTTGAGCTTACCGGTCAACGTTACCTGCTAGAACAACATGTGTTCAAACAATAAATCACATTAGTCTCAGAAGAACTTATTTAATTGACTAAAATAAATTTTAATATTGATTAATATAACTAGCTCATAAAAATCGGGGTGTTACAACCCCTCCCACCTTATAAAAGTTTCGTCCTCGAAACTTAGAACAACTCCGGATAACGACGTCTCATGTCGTCCTCCACTTCCCAAGTAGTTTCTTCAACTTTGTGATTCCGCCACAACACCTTCACTAGAGCTATCTCTTTATTCCAGAGACGTCTAACCTCACGATCAAGAATTTGTACTGGCTTCTCCTCGTAAGACATCATTTTGCACTTCTATTGTGGGAGGTACTAAAACATGCTCCGGATCAGCAAAGTATTTCCTCAACATCGAAACATGAAAGACATTATGAATGCCAGAAAACTCTTCAGGTAGCGCGAGCTCATAAGCTACCTTCCCAACTCGTCTAATGATCTCATATGGTCTGGTGAATCTAGGGCTAAGCTTTCCTTTCTTCCCAAATCGCATCACACCCTTCATCGAGGCTATCTTGACGAAAACAAAATCCCCCACTTCGAATTCTAGAGGTCTCCTTCGAACATCTGCATAACTTTTCAGTCTGCACTGGGCAAATTCTATCCTTTGTCGGATAGTCTTAATAGCTTCTGAGGTCTCATCTATCAACTCAGCTCTTCCTTGTAATTCCTCTTCTAGAACATTCTTCTCTCCTGTTTCATACCATGATATGGGAGATCTACACCTTCTCCCATACAACGCCTCATATGGAGCCATACCGATGGTTGCTTGATAACTATTATTATAAGCAAACTCCGCCAAACTAAGGTATTTAGCCCATCCTCCTTGAAAATCAATAGCGCATTCCCGTAACATATCCTCTAAAATATGATTTGTCCTCTCCTTCTGGCCATCTGTCTGAGGATGAAAAGCGGTACTAAACTTCAACTTCGTGCCCAATGATTGTTGTACACACTTCCAAAAGTGAGACGTAAATCTTGAGTCTCTGTCCGAAATAATACTCTTAGGAACACCATGCAATCTCACTATCTCCTGTATATAAATTCTTGTCAACTT